CGGGCTCGGGAATTGTGTTTCTCGGACGGAGCGGGAGGGCAACATGGCGTTCCCTTCCCATGGCGGTGTTGGGAGCGCTCAGCTGCAGCCTGCGCAGTGTCGCGGCCCGGCGGGGCCGGGCTGAGCCGAGCCGAGCTGAGGTGGCCGCTCATATCGGGTTGCGAGGTAGTTAGGGGGCATGAGGCAAAGATGCGTGCGTGTTTGTTCACGTGTATAGATCTGTATCGATTTAATATGTATGCTACATACATATTATGTATGCTCAGGCATGTGTGAAAGCGGCCAGCCTTTTCTGCAGGGCGAGTGTGCTGCGCTGTTTGGGCGGTTGTAGACGCGCCCGCGCCACGCGGGGCCGTGTGTGCCTTTAGGCACGTGCGAGTGTGGTGGTTTCCGAAAGCCGTGGGGGTAGGACACCGAAACAGGAAATTACGTGTTAGTTCTTTGGAGGCCATTTATTTATTTATATGGCTCTCATGTTAGTGAAACCAGGTATATGGCTCTCAAGTTAGTGAAAAAGCAAGAGTTCTTTTGGGAGGGGGAGGAAGGGGATTTGGAAATGTGTGTTAGCTTGGTAGAAGCAGCGTTCTTTAGGGAGAGCGGGGAGGGGTGTGTTTAGAACATTGTCAATCTTTACTGAGGACAGGGGACAAATACCAGTCACCTTTGAAAATGAGAGGGAGTAGTTATAAGTAATTTGGGCAAAGAACACTTTTGCTGAGCAAGACTTTGGCCTGTTCTTCCCCCAGCTTGCTGTGTTCAATGCAGGCTTTTTGCCTACTGGTAGCTGAAGCTGCATTGTCAGTAGACAGTTATTTCGAATGTAAGCAATAAAAATAAAATTTGAAAAGGCAGAGTTTGTTCACACATTGTTTGCTTCTGAAATGGCTTTAGTCTTTTTAAAATTACAGCTCTCTAGCACAGTTTTCTTCACAAGTTGCATTTTATTTTTTTTCTCTTTCTTTGTGTACTTGAGAATATCTTGTGTATGCAGAGTAGTCCTATGTTTTCTCTTGTATTTGATCCATAATGTTTGGTTTATTTATTTGTGTGAGTTTATTATGTAGTGATGTGGGAGGTAGGAGGAAAACAAAAATGATGCTTTTAAATAGTAAAGTTACAGTGTAGGAAAGCTTGAGGAACAAACTCTAATTTGCTGTTCTGTATGTGGTAAAGTTCACGTTGTTCTGAAAATACCTGCTTTGGGAAGTCTGCAGTAAATCGCTTAGATTCCCGATGGTAAGGCTCATTATTTGAAAGTCCTTGTATCAGATATAATTTCAGAGTTCCCTTCTGTACCATTTTTGGATCGTATTGAGCTGCCTTCGACTGTTGCAAGAAACCCAACAGGCTTTCATCATATTTCAGCTTGGAATATCATGCATTTTCACCAAGTTTTGTAATTAAAATTTGTTGAATAATTAGAGATGAATAGCAGGCTGGATTTTAAGCATGTTCTTGAATGCAAGTTATCTTTTCTACGTATTTGTGAAAAATGTGTGTTTTTGGAGATGCTAACCACACTTATGCAAAAAAGCCCCCTGTATATATATATAAAAGCCCCTCTTGTGTTTATAACTTTTGTTCAGGTTTGTGGTAGCTGTAGGGTGATACTTACTCCAATTGAACTTCATGTAATAACCTTCTAATAAGTACTGTTTTATTTCTTACAGAATTTTTAGGGAAAAAGGTTCGCTTTTTTATGAAATATTTACCACACGCTGAGAAACAAGTCAGTAAAGTCAACCAAAAGCTCATGTCTTCAGAAATGCCAGCAGAGAGTCCAGAGGAGCCAACAGAAAATACGGTGCCCACAGAGGTTCCTGATGTGGAAGGAAAGGTGAAACCCAATGATGGTCAAGTAGAGAACCAGGAGGCAGGCCCAGACAAGGCACAAGGTCTTGAAGCCATGTCCAAGAAGCAAAGGAAGAAACTGTTGAAGCAGCAACAATGGGAAGAACAGAAAGATTTACGCAGGTATGGTTCGAAATAATGACTTTCCTAGGATCTTGTGTACCATTTAATGCCAGTAGCAGTAATGCTGTAATGCTCTGTGTTAGCAGAATTTGCATGCAGATTACTTTAGCAAGCCAAGGCAGTTGAGCTAGTTTTCTCTCATACCTGGTTTAAAGTGGTAGTCACAGACTGCTCCATCTGACTAGTAAGAAACTGCAAAGGTAAGATTATGCTAGACATGTGCCGCCTCTCGAAGAGGATACCAGGAAGGAGTCCAGCTTGCTTGTGTTTTTCTAACATATTTGTCCAGAGGGAGAAATAACCTGGCATAGTTCCTTTCTGAATTGGCTGTATACTGTTTTCCTATTGCTGTCGAATTTGTTGAACTGTATGAAATCAGAATAAAAATTTCCTTCTGACAGGTAGAATATTGTGCCATAAATGCTAAGGTTGGTTTGTGATCGACTAAAATGTTTTGTGGTAGGTGGTGGATTTTCATATTTGTATTCTTCTGGAGGAAAAAGTGTGTCTGCAAATGGATGATCTCGATTTATTCTAACACAAAATATTCCCTCCTAGGTGAGTGGCTGTTAACAAAGAGCTTTTTAGGTGTTCTTTGAAACTTGATTCTAGGCTATTTGCTCCTTTTGAGAGGTGAGGGGGAAGAGAAACAAACATTTGCTTCAGAAATCTTGGAAACTGTCCATTTGGTGGAACAGAAGCTGTTCTGCTGCTGTGTTTTTGGTAGTAGTTTTGGTTATTCCTGATACATTAGTTGATTCAGAGCACTGCTAAATCCATGAAACAGATTCCACCGACTCCACTTGGATTTATGGTCTCTGTCTGTCTAGGTATGCCTTGTCTTTGTAGGTGTGTCCAATACTTTGTAAACAAATGAGCTACCTCTTTTGTGCTGGTGTTAGCCTAGCACAAATTCAAGCACCAGAAATAGTATAAGACAAGGCAGTATAAACCACCTTGGTCTTGGAACAGCTATCTTGATCATAAAAGTATATTTTCATCTGTTTCCTCAGCATATATGTACCTGTTTATATTTTTTTATCAGGCAGAAACGAAAAGAAAAGCGCCAGAAGAGAAAGCTAGAGCGTCAGTCAAAACTGGACTCCAATAATGAAGGGAACGACAGGAAGCGTATGCGCAAGGAAGTGGTTCCGAGTACGCTTCGCCTCATTGTGGACTGCAGCTTTGATGACTTGATGGTGCTAAAGGTAAAAGAAATTTACCCATCAGATACAGGTGTTGAATTCATATGTGGTTTGAGAGAAAAACTATTTTGGAGCAGTGGATAGTTAGCATGTTTCAGAATGTGGTGACTCCTAGAACTTAAACTAACTGCAGAATTTTTCAGGGCTTGGGATATACCTTTGTGTAAGCTTGCCAAAAATCTTGTTTGCCTTCTTGCATCTGTGGTAAGTTGGTTTGATTCCAGAGACAGAAACAGAGAAATGGTTTGTGTCTCATGCTCACCTTGAACTTGCACCCAGTTCTGCCTCAAAGTGATTCTGCCAGAGGGGTTGTAATTACTACATTTAGTTAGTTTCTCCTTTGAAGGGGGTCTCAAACTCCCAGCACTGTTAATGATGATCTGTGGAAATGAGTCTTTTTTTTTTTTAAGCACTATAAGGATGCTGAGCTTTTAACATTAAAACAGGAAGATGTTAATATGCTATCTCCTGTAAGAGAGCAGCCTGCAGTGTCTGAGGTAGACCTTTCCCCAGCCTGCTACCTTGAGCTATTCTACTGCTGCCCTGTAAGACTGCTAAAATGAAGCCTTGCAAAGCTCATCTTAGCTGACTGCTGTGTGTAATGCAAAACATGTATCACTAAAGCAGCTGAGGGTTACTGACCATAGCTTTGGGGAGGCTCCTCAGCACCACCACATAAAAGGTCAGAGCAGCCCCTTGGTACATTTTGGGGATACTGCCTGGGCATTTCCTGCTAAGCTGCAGCTTTTGTAAAACAAAATATCCCATTTTGTTTTAAAATGAGAATCAGTTATAAGAAGACCCTCTTTGTGAAATACTGAGACTAAAGGTACCTTACATCAGGGATCCTGACTAACAAATGTGTTTGTTGCATTTTATATGGTACTAGTTACCTGTTTAAATTTTCAGGTCAAAATGCTGGAACCAGACAATAAATTACTTACATTGTGTGTGATTGTTTTTTAGGTTAGTTGTGCTTTTTAGTTTTTTTTTAACTTCATACTGTATAGTCTCAAGTCTTTATTTTGGATGAAAGACTTGAGTGTAGTTGCAGAGTGAAAAAAATCTGCTTGATTCCGTAGATGAATTTTGAGTATATTATTATGTATAATTAAATCTCTTTTTTGTTTCGTTTTTCCAGAATAATGCAAATCAAGTACATGCATAAAAGTGTCTAAATTTTTGTGTGTGTATATGTGTGTGTGGAAGATGTGCCTGTATCCGTGTTGGAGTAATCCCCTCACAGAGGCTCTCTTTCCTTTGAGACTGAGCACGTGTGCTTTTTCTGTCTCTGAGTAGTCACTTTTGCCAGTTAAAAGCTTCCTTTTTTTCTCTTCAGCTTCTGACTGGCTCATGGTAAAGCATTTTATGGTGGTCTGTCTGAAGGACTATGTAAAAACAAATTATGTTGTATACAGGATGTTAAGAAGCTTCACAAGCAAATTCAGAGATGTTATGCAGAAAACCGCAAAGCATTTCATCCTGTGCAGGTATGCTTACGCAAACTCATGTCAAACCATGTCCCATGTGCAAAGCAGATGAGAAGGGTAGCAGTGACCCAAACTGGTCACAACTGTAGTAGGCAGACAAACTGTTTATTTAAAAGTGTCATATTAAAACAAATAGTATTTCTGATTTTTTTAATCCATGTATCATGCAAATCAGTATACATATGAGCAAGCATGTACATGCAGATGAAGAACATCATATCGTATGCAGTCATGCTACTAAAATACCTCTATACTAAGTTTTATCTATGACACATACAACAACAAGAGAGGGGCTACATATGTGTACGCTTGTCTCCTAAATGTGTCGCTAGTTATATAAATATAATCTATTTATGATTTCTGCTAAGTAAATAATAACTTAAGAGTGTTTGCTATCAGCTAAGGGGGTAAAAAGGCTTTCACAGAAGGGAAGATAACTGGCATCGTAACATTTAAATATTATGCATTTTCTGTTTGTTTTTTTTTTTTCTAAGTTTTACTTGACCAGCCACGGAGGACAGTTGAAGAACAACATGAATGAAAATGACAAAGGTTGGGTGAACTGGAAGGTGAATAATTGACTCTATTTTTGTATAAAGGGAAAGGGAAGGTTGTTAACCAGCTTGTTTGTGAAGGACCTGTACTTCTTAAATTTATTTTTTCCCCAAAACATCAGAACAATACTGTGTTAGAAAGAAGTGTGGCTCTTTATGCTCTTAAATTACTTAATTTGACTATGCTAGAGACTGCTTGGCTTGAATCTGGTTTTTGGTTTTGCAACTCTACATATGCTTTAATTGAATAGATACCATTGTCTGATAGCCTGGGCAAGGGAATTATTCAAGCTGTTGCAGCAGTTGCCTCTCTCAATGGTGCTGCTCTTGGAAAAAGTAGTACTCTGAAGTCCTGTTCTCTCTTGTGCTTTTTATTTCCCTTGCTTTGCCACTGAGCACTTCATTGTAGCAGGTTTTGTGTGATGACTGCTTTTCAGAAGCATAGCACATACCTCTCATCAAACAAGTAATGTTAACTAAGCATGCACTTGTAGTTTCCTTTTTAGAAAGGAGGATTTGAAAATGGTTAGGATTGCTAGAGAACATTTGGTAATTTCCGAAAAGCATCACAAGAACTTAAGGTTTTCTGCAGCCCTTCTGGGCTTTCAGGAAGTTTCCAGATGAATCTTTGGAGATCCTTATAGGGACTGTGGGTTGTTTATGTAGAGAGTTACGCTGTGGAGGGGAAAAAAGAGAATGAGGGGCGTAGAATGAACTGTGTATTCTTAGCTTTATATTTGCTGGTTCCATCTCAGATCTGAAAAGCATATGGTTTGTCCAACAATTCATCTATTGAATGTAACTTCTTTTAACTACCTTGTGTTTTGGAGGATATCCAAATTAGAACAGAGCACTACAGTGAGCTAATAAAGAAGGAAGACCTAGTATATCTTACCTCAGATTCCCCAGATGTGCTTAGTGAGCTTGATGAGATGAAAGCCTATGTCATAGGAGGCCTGGTGGATCACAATCATCACAAGGTAAACGCAGGCTGCAGTTCTTTACAGCCTCTTTTTTTGAGGGGCAGGGAGGGAGTGGTGGAAATAATCATGTTTGACATTAGTGTTGTGCATGTGTAAACTAATAAAAATAACAAAACTTTCAAAAAGAAGACTTAATTCAAAAAAAAAAATGGAAAGAAACACACGAGTTTGGTGCTGGCAATGACTTGTGTTCCAGGGCACCGACATGTGGAGGCTTTTCAGTGTTTTATCTTTTCATTTTAAATATTGGAATGGAATTAGTAACACTGCTCAACTTACCAAGGACCATATTTTCAGACAGAAGGCTTTGGTTTCTCAGCATGCAATTGGGTCTATGCTTGTATGTGCCCAAATATAGAACAACAACAATGCTTGAGTCTTGAATTTTTATTTTTTTATTTTTTTATTTTTTTTTAAAAAAAGGACAAGTTTGCCCCTCTGAAGGACTTGGCTAAGTGACACACATGCCTCAGGGATCTGGTTCCATACCTAGATGTGGGAACATGCTGTGTGGGCTTGGGGGTGCCATAGAGAATGCTGCTGGGAAATAAAAGCGCTGTTACTGCTGGACTCTAAAGACACTCCCGCATAAGTTCTAGTAACCTACTCAATATTTCAAGGTGTGCTAAATTAAAAGGGATGAATCGTATGCCTTACCAAATGATACTGCAACAGTTAGCCCACAGTTGAAGGCTGGAAGGGAATAAAAGCAGATAGATAGTTATTAAAGTATGAAGCATTTACTTCTTAAAGCACTCTATTCTGTCTGGGCACAGGAGTTTCTAGGTTATAAAATAAAAATATTTTTTTAAAAAAGCAAAAACTGTATTCTCCCCCTCAAAAAAAAATCTTTAAAGCAAAAGCATGGTGATGGAATCAAGACTGTGGCAGAAAACAATACTTCTGATAAACTGTTTAGGCTGATTCAAAATGGTGATTCTGAGTCAAATTGTGGGTTTTTTTTTTTTTTTTTTATCTTTCCAAGAGGGAATTACTTACAGAAAAGCAGTAGAGCTAGGAATTGGTCATGCTCAACTCCCTCTTGGAAACTTTGTGAAAATGAACAGTCGAAAAGTGCTAGCGGTCAATCATGGTAAGTCTTACCTCACTGAACAACAGTATTATAGAATATACCTGCAGTAGTAAACATAGTACCCTCAGAATGTACATTACAGGGCAGGTACCTTCATTTAATATTTAAGCCTTTTTTTAATCCTGTTCCTTCTGGAATAAAGTAGTTAGAAAAATATTTAAACAGCAGAGTATATGGATAAAGATAGCTGTGGAAGTGTCTCAGTCACTTAAAAGTGCAAACCCCAATCAGTTGACCTCTCCCATGAGTAATTTTTGCCTTTCTTGCCATCCTGGCCCTGGTAACTGGCTTAAATGGGTAAATAAATAACATCTGGAAGCTATCCCATGCTGCGCTTTTATTACTGCATTTCTACCTGGTTTCTTCATGTGCAGTTATACTTAACCTATTTCTCGAAACACATGCATGCTTTTAAGTTTTTTCTTATACTATTTATTATCTTTCAGGGTCATTAAACAAAATTACATGCTCAGAACCTCATAGGAATTTCTTTGATAGTATGCAAGTCTTCGAGTCTTCAGGTTCTTTTATCTTATCCTGCCTTATGTTTCAGGTTTGTTTTGCAATTGAACACCTCTCCTGACAGTAACTTTATGTTCTTAAGGTGCCATCAGTGGCTGAGGTGTGCACTTGTAAGATAAAGAGTATTTAAGTGTAGCCGGGAACATGTATTCGAGGCCATTTTATTAGCATGGCACTAGAATTAAAAATCACCGCAGCCTTTGTAGCATTTTTCAAGTTTCCAGGACTTGATCTTTAGATGTTTTTATACATATTTTATGTATTCATCAAAAGGTTGAAGGTCCATTAGTGCTTTTCTGCAATAATCTTATACTGACCTCTACTGGCAGCATTTTGCTGGCTTTACCCCGAAGTCTGCACTCTACATAGTTTCAGTTGTTTATTGTAGATAGTTTGTACTGCAGCAAAATTTTGCTTAAGGTTTTCTGTCAGGAAAATGAAGAAAAAAAAAAAGAGGAGGGGGGGCCAAAGGTTGCAGTGCTAGCTCAATTAAATTAATTGTGGCAGCTACCATTAAGGCTCTGGTGTATCTTGTAACCTGAGTCGCATAGAACCTAAATCAAAAAGGACTGTTTTCAGGGAGATAGTGCTTAACATGGATAAGGTAAGTAGATCTAAGCGGTCTCTCAACATTTTTTTTAATGTATAAAGTCTTGTGTAGGAGTGAAGGAAATTTCTACTAAGATTTTTGAAATTTGCTGCAAACGAATCCACCTTGCTACTTTGTGTAACACTGTATAATTTCTCACCTCCTCTATGGTAATGTGGTTATTTTGGCATTTGTGCTCCCTCGCTCAGTCTGGAATGTAAATCTTGCAAAGCACAATATGTGGCTCGGCAGACAAGACAGAGACCTACTGGGTTCCTGTGGGACTATTTTTGAGAGGTGTGAATTTGGAAAGTCCCATAGAAGAGATTCTTTCTTAAGTGCCTTGTCAGTCTCTGAAGCACTTTAAGTGGTGCCCTCTGGTGGTGGGAGATAGGCAGCGTGCTTAAATATGAAATTTGCCTTGGGAACAAGTCTTCATAGTTCAGTGCCTGAACTCTGAAAATGTTTTGAAATGTATTATATTTTGTTATACAAACTAGCAGGCTTTCATAAGTGTTTTTGTTGTTTTATTTTTAATTTGGTCTGAATTTGAGATCCATATGAAGCATTATATGTTTGTTTAAAAACAAATTTACAAGTTTACTTGAGAGTTGGATTTTTTTCCCTTTCCTTCAGCTCAGATTTGTGTCATAAGAGTAATAGTCTGTAATGTGTCTTATTTGGCCATATTGCTCTATTTCAGTGTGTGGTGAAAGCTAGTAACTGTTTCCATTACCTTTTTCTGTCCTTTCTTAATATTTTTATTGCTATTGTAGTGCATTGCAGATATCTCTCTTGTCCTGCCCAGTCTGTTCTATTTTCATCAGTTCACTTTCCGCTATTCAGATAAAGGAAGCTCCTAAAGGGAGAGAGAATCCTACTCACCATGCTCTTCCTTAAACTACGAGTTTTGCCACTTAGACTTTCTGCAGTAGCTTCCAGTGGCATTAATCTTCTCTCTGGGAGAGAACTAACTTCACTGTACTCCTAAGGCAAATAACCTAGTAAAATGGGCAGCTCTTGTAAATCATTGTCATAGACAGCAGCAGGCTGTCCAGTAAACCTGCCTCCAGGGAACCTCTGGTAAACGTGACCCTCTTCTGTAATTTGACTCTCAGTGAGTGAGATGCACACACCACCTCCCTTTCTGAATTCTTGCCTGGCTTCCCATAAGGGTTTTTCCCCCCATCCTTTCTCATATGCTCTTGCTTGCCATTGAAAAGGTTTGCACTGGGTGCATTCTTTGAAGTCGGCATTCTCCAGCCCTGTTAGCACTATTCTTGTAGTCTCAAGCTTGAGCAACCTCCTCTGTGTCCCAGATTTTTCACACTAATCTGGTTTACTCATCAGCCACAGGGGCATCCTTCCACCTTTACTACACCTGCAGAACTCAGTCGTGTTAAGAGCTTTGGTGCTCCTCAAAATCATTTTTAAGATTTTGGACAACTGAGATTTTTATAAATAGGAAAATGCTTGTGAAATTTGCATATAATATAGTTTGGATGTATTGTCAGTCAGAGGAAGTTTTGAGCTGAAACAGGAGGAGTCAGGATGACATGCTAATTAGTATGAAGGAAGCAACAGGAAATTCAATAGTATTTTTTTTTTTATGTCATAAGCTCAGATTTTATCAGATGGAAATGAAAGTAAACTTCAGGGAAGACTTTGGGCTGTTCATATATTGCAATTGGGGAAAAATCAAAGTTATTGTTAAAGTGCACCCAGAGCAGTATTACTGTCAAACATCAAAAAGCTGGTCTAAAAGGCATCTGAGAGACCTCGAATACTAGGGAGGCCCACTTGAACCAAAGAGAAATGAGCTCAAACTAGAGCAGCGTCAGAAAAGGAGACTGAAGCAACCAGGAGAGGAGAGAGCCTGTTTAACAGATAAAGACTTGGGGCTTGGCTTTAGACAGTAGTAGTAGCAGAATGGTCTGGTCTGCTTCTGCCTGTAGCTTTTATTCTGGAGGTGTATGTGTTCCTGTTGCCAATTCAGTTGTCTCCTGGGCGAAGAGCTGATGGTCTTTCTTGATGTTGCAGTTTTTGAGATCATCCTTGCATACCTGGAGAAGAGGGACTGGAAGGAAGCCTTTTTCAGTGTCTTGCCACAGCGGAAAGGGGCCATTCCTTTGGGAGAAGCCAATGATTCATCCAAACATACTCCATCTGAAAAAGAACATGGAGACAGTGACTTGGACAGCAACTAAGGCTTCAGAATGAGATGGGGAAAAAGAGACATTCTATTCATGGGTAAAATTGGGACACAAAGTAGTTAAACCCTGAATACCATCTGCTGCCCTCATGATACTGAATTGTGTCAATGCTTAGTAGCTACATTGCTGGCCCTGACCTGCTGGACAGTATGGGTAAAGATAAATGTTATTTTTACTCTGAAGCATTGGTCTTAGTGGCTTTTTTGGGGGAAAAATATGTGTCTATATATAATAGAAAAAGTTATTTTGTTTACCAAGGAAGCTATTTATTTTTTTTAAGTTTCGTTGTATATGTGAATACACTTAAAAACCTGAAGTATTAGTAGTTCTTGCTTTGTGTGCAACCTTGGCCATTTCCATGCTCGTGTGTCTTAAAAGCAGTGTACAATAAGATTCATATGACCTCAAATCCTGTACCGGTAGTGCCTGTTGCACCATGTGTGTGACCGCTCAAAGAAAAGACAAATTTTTGATGTTTCCCGAGAGTCTCAACAGACAGTCATGAGCAACTGAAATGCCTTTGTTACATTAGCCGTACTGACTGTTTTATACCCTTGTGATCATCTTGTTGGGGTCGCTAGATGAAGTATGAATGTGCAGTTAAAGCAGTACTCTGCTTGAGTTTGAGTGGGATGAGTATCTGCACATGTGTGAATTTGTGGCTTGGTTAGAACACAGTCCTTGTTTTGTTAATGTGGTTCAATTACACTTTATTATCTATTACACTCTTGGCAAAACTTACCCTGCAGTCTCAAAACAATACAGCTCCAGAATACTGGTTATTTGAAAATCTTATTCTTCAGTTTTAGTATATGTATGTATCGGAACATTGTATTAATTGCTTTTTCTTCCAACTATTTTTCGCTTTAAAGGAAGATGTTTCAATCTTGACTGGAAACTCTATTCTAATTTTTTTAAACTGACTCTGGTGCTTTTTCCCCCCCTAAGTAATATATTTTTATTACCATCTGCAAGCCTATTCCCTGGCTTCCTTCTGTAGGGATGAAGTGGGCAGCTGAGATCTGTGTTTTGGATTGTGAACAAGCATGCACTGAATCTAAGCTGAACGGAGCAGCTCTCACACAACTGCTGGGGGAGTGTAAGACCAAATCATGATAACTGTTCATCTCTTAGCTGCAAGCAAGAGGATGCTAGAAATACGTGTGCATGTAAGGTGTGCCTCTCATTGTAGTCCTGCTTCGGTTGCTGGTCTGTAAAGGTTTGGCAACGAACTAGTTGTGACTTTATATACTCAGTGTGTGCTGCCTCCTTTGCTTTTTAAATAACCGTTGAAAAGTTTCATGTGTTGAAAGCATGGACTGCAGATTTACTTTGCAAGGCTATGCAAGAGTGTGATGGCTTTTGGACAGAAACTAGATTGCCTGTGGCACAAAAGCACAGCTGTTTTTATTTCTTTAATGAAAACAAAAAACAGTACAAGTATACCAACCATTTATTAAACGGATTCTCCCAAAATACATGTGTAAAGCAGTTCTGTTAAGAGTTACCCGTTTACAACTGAGGTATTGCATGCATGTTCATGCACATAGTTAAACTTGTGAATCTTTGGTCATTTTAACATTTGCTGGTTTGCTTGTTTTTGAGTATTTCTTACACGTGCCTCATCTCCACAGGCTTGAGAGGGTAAGAGAAGGTCACATAAATTGGGACTTCTGGAGACATTCAGATAGGGTCCAAAGAAGCCTTGGAATTATTTTGCTGACAAAACATTATTGCAATATGAAGGAAGTGTGTTATGACTTAAAACACAGCTTTTCTTGCATAGTCACCAGTGAAATTAAATGGATTACTCATACACACACACACTTTAGAAAAGGAAGAGCGCTTGTACTGCTTGTGACTGGACAGCATGTTTTTTCTGTAACTAGGACAAAATTATCAACTAGCATTTGATTGCAGCATTAAAGCAGGGTGACCAGCAAACTCTGCCAGAGCTTCTCAGTCCATCATGACAGTCCGGGAAGTGCTCTTCACTGCAGCATGAAAGTGCAGGTATGTTCTCGAGGGTGGCCATTTGCTGGCCTGGGAAAAGCATACCAAGTGTCTTACTCTCATGTGCACACTGTGCCTTTTTTTTTTTTTTCTTTTTTTTTTTGTTTTTTTCCTTGCCTGATAATTCTTATGGTTTTGATTCTTAACCGCCTACTGCAATTGTTTAACTGTTACACGACTAGCTGAGCTTGGCTCCTCTCTTTTCCTAAAAGCCCTGAGAGCTTGCCCATATTTAGTAATCATGGTATGTATCTAACTGTCATTCATATTTGCTGCACATCACAGAGGTTTTACATATTTATTGAACAGGCCATCTCTCCGAAGAGGGATAGAATATAAATTCTTACAGAGGAATAATGGATTACAACTTGAGCACTTTATGAAGCATTTAAAAATACTTGACATGGATGCATGACTGTTTAAATTAGTTGACTCTCTCAACCTCCTCAGCAACAGCAGACACCCTAAAGAGTGCAGGCTCCCAGCGGTTGGTGGCAGGGACAAGTGATAGTCCAGAAGATGGGCGATCTGGTTTTATTACAGGACAAAGAAATGTGGCTGCCTCACCAGAATAGTCTTATGGGAATCTCGGTCGCTGCTTTATCCTGATGTATCTGTAAGGATCTGCTTCAGCTTCTTCTGCTGCTTTGGCCTGAAGGGGGAAGTGCTCTGCAGGGAGCCATGTTTGGGGACGCACAGCAGCAAGAGGTGCTTGGGGAAGGGAGATGACTGAGGTGTGATTGACTGTAATGCTCCTTGCAAACAGTCCCACTTCTGGCTCCAGTATGTTTGCTCACAGCCTGTCTCCTTTGTGGAGGAAATGTAACTGTGCCTTTGAGAGGCTTTAACGCCATTGCTGCCCTCTCGGTTCTGTTCAGTAATGCGTCTCTAAGGCCTCAGAGATACTAAGTTTTTCAGGCCTAGCTAATGCAGCCCAATGCCAAGAGATGACACCCACAGTAGAGATTTATGCAGGATTAAAGCAGTCTGAATATGGCCCAAAAGTGTTTGTCAGCTACCTTCATTTTGACTCTCCAGTGCCAATAGCCATGAGTAGGCTCATACTCTTGCACAGCTATACAAATTACCTACATGGGAAAGTGATCCTTGCATTATTTTATGAGTTGGCAAGTGTACATGAGGAATGGCTGGTTCTGTGTGACAGGCTTTCTTCTGGCCATCCACAAATACTCCTTTCACTAATCTGTTGCTCCAGATTAGTATGGGGCCACCAGTCTGTCTCATTGAGTGCTCTTACATGCTTGGGTTTGTGCAGTAACCGCTCTGTCAGCCCTGAGAGAAAGCAGAGGTTGTCACCCAGGTCCTGCAGAGGAAAGTGCGGATGGACCCGCTAGTTGCAATAGGTAGAAATGATTTTGAAAGGAAGGTAGAGGCTTTGGATGAGCGGGGTGCGGTGTGCCCTGAGCTAAGCTTCCCCTCCCTTTATGTAATAACTTCTTTTCCCCTGCAAATGAATAGATGTCTTCATGAGCCTATCTTCACTGGGAAAAATCTTGCTCTGGGAAATAAATGGGAATGTGGTCAGAAAAAAAAATGAGTTACATTTTAAAAGGATAAAACTGATTTTTCTGCTTGCAGAGTTTACCTGAAAGACCTGGGTAAGACCCAGAAGAATTTCTGTTGTTGCTTTCCTGTATTTTGGTGGCTTGTGGCTTGTATGGTGGCTTTAGAATTTGTTTTTTCTTCCTCCATGGATGCTAAAACTTGTGAAGCTACTCCACGAATAACAAGAAATATGGAAGCAGATAACAGCTTGCTGTGAGGCAGACATTGTTGGTCACTATGCAGGCCTGATTTTGGAAATTCAGAGTCTCTCTTTTCTGATGCCTAGGACTTGACATGCTTCTCTGCAAGTGCTGTGTGTGCCTCTCCCCTTACCCTGGTGTGTCTGTGACTGTGAAGTCACAGACAAGAGCTCTTGTCTAAACACAAGAGCCATCTGAGTTACGCAGAAACATGAATCTGATGCCAAAAAGTGGGTTTTTTTGTGTGTTTTTTTTTTCTTTCTTTTTTTTTTTTAATCATTAACCTCTTTCCACAGTAACCTATGCAGAATGGTTTGGTTGAATTGCTGCAAGACTAAACATAATGAGCGTAAGATTATTTTATTTTAAAGGAGAGCCTGACCAGTTACCTGTAAAATTATTAGAAGGGCTAAAGAATATACTTTTTTTTTTTTCATGTGAAGGTGTCATTGGAGCTGCCTTAGTGGCTGGGGGGGGCCGAGCTTTCCCCAGCCAGGGGGCGGGTGCATGTTGGGGGGCGCTTGCTGCTGCGCAGGCGGGACTTGGGGTGAAGCGTCAAGGCGGCAGCAGCGCCCGTTGCTGCCGAGCCCTGCCGGCTGCAGGGCTTCCCTAGGGCCAGGGGATCTGCCTGTGCTGGGCTTCTGTTTCTCAGCCTTGAGAGTGAGAGATCTTCCTCCCTTTCTGAAAAAAAAAATGTAAAAGAAAGCTCTATATTATTAGGCTGAGAATTATAGAAGCACATGTACTCCATAGCGAGAAAGTCACTTGGAAAAGGATTGCTGCTTTAGAGTTGTCTTCATACAAGAACAAGCAGATAGAATTCTTCTCCTCTGTGTTCCTAAGCATGGTTACAAACAATGTTAACGCTGGTAGTTTTTAAGCCAGCACAAATGACTGTGTTAAAATTACACATGGCTGTGACTGACTTGTGTTGTCCCCAGGCATTTCAGAAGGGGTGCAAAGAGGTGATCGGGTGTTTCCTGGCAGTGCCTCTGTTGTTGGCTTGCATTGGCTGTGAAAACGTTGCAAGTGGCTTTTGGGGGCTGAAAATGCGTGAGTGAGAAAGCCTGGCTCACACTGAGGAGAGAGGTGGTAATCGGTACCTCTTGCTGCTATGGCTTGTTCTAGCAAGAGGCAGAAGCAGCTATCCATGTCCCTGACCTTGCTTTATATCTGAGTTAAATCAATTACAAAATTCATAGAAGTCTTTTTCTATCCAGAGAAACCAATTTAGTGACCACAACAATGGAAAGTCTTTGATATCCTGCTCTTAATGAATTAGATGTCCATTGGCACTGAATTCTGGATCTGCTGTGAAGATAGAAGTTAGAGCTGCTGGACATTCATAGTCCCTA